ATTATTTCTTCAAAGACACTTTCTATCCCTTTTTCTCTTTCTTCTTCTTATGGTGCCGCTATTTTGCAAATATTGTTCCATTTGGATTGGTCACACAGTTCTCTTAATATTCTTTCATTCCTAGAGATCCTTTTATCTCCCTCTGCCTCAGCTTCTCTGTATTCCTGTTCTCTGATTTCTATTCCATTTACAGTCTCTTGCACCTCATCCAGTCTGCTCTTAAGTCCTTCCATTGATTGTTTCATTTCTGTTATCACCCTCCGTACTTTATCCCTCAGCTCTTGCATATTTCTGTGCAGCTCCATTAGCATGGTTATGACTTTTATTTTGAGTTCTTTTTCAGGAAGATTCATTATATCTATCTCCCCAGGCCCTGTCTGTGGCGTTTTTTGAGTGATTTTGGACAGGACCACGTTCTTCTGCCTTTTCATGGTGATGGAATTGATTGATGTCAAGTGGCACGTGTGTCAGCTGGGAGAACAAAGTCCCTTCCTGCTTGCTGCTCGCAATGCCCTTCTCTTCTACCTGTGCCTGTTACCTGTACACAGGGAGCAGTGTCTGGGTTAATCTCCTGAGGTGCTGTGGGCGGGGCTGCCCTTGGGATGGCCTAGGGCACTGTCAGGGATCGCAGGTGCCACATGTGTTCTCCTGCGAGAATGACGCCCCTTCGTACCTTCCGGACTTTGCACCTGCTTCCTCTGTGCCAGGCAGCTGTGTGCTGGTGGTAGCCTCTGTGCCTGACCTGGTTAGCTGCACACTGGGAGAAGACTCTGTGTTGTTGCTGTGGGCAGGGCTGCTTCCTCGCTGGTCCGCAGTAATGGTGGGTCAGCTAGTTTGCTTGCAGTGCCTGCAGGGGGCAATGAACAGCAGGCTGCTTATTGCCGTGAGGAGCTTCAGAGCTGCATTGCCACCCAGCACATTAGGGTGCCTGAAGTTCGTTAAGATTCCCAGCCTGTTGGGATGAGTGTACCGGGACGGTTTTGTCCACATATTAAACCCTTGTCCCTTTAAGACTTTTCAAGTGCCTGCTTTTCTTTTGTCCCAGGGGAGCTGGCTGTGGAAATCCACTCGCAGTCTCTGTCTCAGATTTTACTTTTCTGTTTCTTTAATATCCAGTGCACCATGCAGTGTGCTCCTATTGCAGATTACTATGACTGGGTATTCCACTCCCACCCCACTCAGATTCTTTTCCTCCCCCCAGTGAGCTCAGGTGTGGGGAGTGCTCAGGTCCCGCTGGATCACAGCTTTGTATCTTACCCTTTTTTGTGGGATGCTGAGTTCTCACAGATGTAGGTGTAGCCTGGCTGTTGTAGTATATCTTCTGGTCTCTCTTTTAGAAGTAGTTGTATTTGTTGTATTTTCAGAATATGTATGTTTTTGGGAGAAGATTTCTGCCACCCTACTCACACTGCCATCTTGAGCGCCTCTCCGAATGCATTGCATTTTATTTCCCCCTGTAATTCTGTTAGTATTTGTTTCACATATGTAGGTGATACTGTGTTGGGTGCTGCTTTTAAATCCCTCCATTGTATATTGCATTTCAGATATGGAATTTCTTAATGATTGAATCTCCATCCTAAATTTGTCCCTGAGTTCTTGAGTACTTTTCTGTACCTCCATGAGCATGTTTATGATTTTTATTTTGAACTCTCTTTCAGGAAGATTGGTGAGTTCAGATAACCTGCATTTGTGTGTGTGTGTGTGTGTGTGTGTCATGACTGATTTTGTTCATACTTGATTTTTTACTTTTGGGTGTTTTTTTTTTTTAACTTTATACTTGCTTAGTTAATAATTGGTCTAGGAACTTTACTATGATTTTATTATCACTGATGAGAAATATTTAAGCTTAAGTACATTTCCATCAACAGGTTTCTTTAACATATCCTGTAAGGCTTGTTTAGTGGTGGTAAATTCTTATAGCTTTAATTCATATGAGAAACTTTAATGCCACTTTGATTCTGGATGATAACCTTCCTGGGTAGAGTATTCGTGGTTGAATGTCCTTCTGTTTATTCATTAAGTATTTTGTGCCACTCCCTTCTGACCTGTAAAGTTTATTCTAAAGAAACCTGATAGCATTATGGGTTACCCTAATGAGTAAGTTTTTGTCTATCTTTAGCTGCTTTCAGTACCTTCTCTATCCTTAATCTTTGTCATTTTCATTAATATATGTCTTGTCTTCCCTGGATCCTTTTGTTAGGGGCTTTCTGGGCTTCCAGGACTTGGATGTCTATTTCTTCTCCCATATTCGGGATGTTTTCAGCCATTCTTTTTTGTTTCTTTTTTTTTTTTTTTTTT